ATATATATATATATATATATATATATATTTATATATAAAATTAGAAAATCTAAGATGCTAAGTCACAAAATTGTACATATCTCCTGACATTTCATCTGTCATGTTTTTCTGTAGACGGGGTGCTGGGTAATGTTTGCAGTTACCAGGATGTTCTGGATTACCTGAACATGACTGTAGATAACAGTGTGTATAAACTGACCAGGCCCGTTCTGGACCACAGTCACACCACGGTGGTGGAGTTGGACATTTTTCTTTACGCCATCCTGGCAGTGGTTGGTGCTGCATTCAATTGTAGATGTTTAATTCATCATTTAAATGTGATCAGGGTGTTTGATGCATCTGTTTTTATTCTCAGGTGGAGAAAACACAAACGTTTGTTCCTTTCGTCTGGACAACAATGGTGAGCTGACTGCCTCATTAATAGCACCTGAGTTTCCCTTTAATTCCATTTACGTTATATTTATACGCCAGTCAGTTTGCATAATTAAGAAAATCAACTTTATCGCATTTGTAATGCATATTTTGGATTAATTCCTGTGTTTGTTTGTGTAATTCTACTTGTGATTGACTGCAGCAGTGGAAGAATGAGCGCATCTCTTGGGACCCGGCTCAATTTTGTGGAATCACTGAGTTGTCAGTTCCTGAAAACCTGCTATGGAAACCAGATGTCTTCATCTTTGAGATGTGAGCCTGCAGCGCACACAGGCATGAAGTCGGTTTCATGAAAAAAAAAATCAGAAAAATGAACACATAAAGATTTTAGGTGGTAAACATAATCTTTGATAAACAAGAAGGGTTTGTGTCGAAATCATAGTCATGGCTGTCTAATAAAGTTCCCTACGTACGAACAAGTGTGTAAAACAGTGGAATGAATAATCATAAATCTCAGTCAGCTATTATGAAACATAATTTCTCCACCCCAAACCACACCAATATTAAATAAATTGGATTATAAAAATAATGTATATCAATGGGTAAATGAGGGCACATACATATTGTAGAGTTTTGAATATCTTGATAAGACAGAAAGGTGCTACATAAGTACAGTCCATTTATTATTTACAATAACCTTCATGCTTTATTATTATTATTATTTTATTATTATTTTTTTTTCCTGCTTGCTCTCGACGAATGCGGATGCTATTCCCTCCCCTTCTGTGCTGAGGCTTTTATTTTGCAACTTTCACTTCTAGGACACAGTGTGAGATATGATTATTTCTACACCTCCACTTACCTCGTGTTTCTCTTTTCTTATCTAAACGAAAAGGTCAGCGCCTCCCGTGAGGCCGCAGCCTCAGACACCTCCGTCTCCCCATGTCTGTTTGTTTGTGTATTTGGATGGGTTGTACTGAAACGTAATTTTGCTGTGCTTCGGTGCAATGACAATAAAGCTGATTCTGATTATAATTTTCACAGTGCTAAGGGGCGGCTGTGGCTGAGTGGTTAAAGCAGTCGTCTTCCAATGCAAGAGTTGGGGGTTCGATTCCACCAGCAGTCACATGCCGAATTGTCCCTGGGCAAGACACTGAACCCCTCATTGCCTCCGATGTGTGTCCCATCGGTGTATGAATGTGATAAAGCTCTGATTATTCTTTGTAGAGAACTACAAAGTAGTAGAGTGCTGTATGAATGGGTAAGTGAGGACACAGATTGTGTTGTAAAGAGCTTTGAGTATATTAATAAGATAGAGTATATAAATGCAGTCCATTTACAATGAACATCACGCTTTATCAAGACAACCTAAATGTAGCAGCTAAACGGAATAAGTTGTGAATTGCTTAAAACAATCTCACTTCTTTTTAGATTGAGCGTCACAGTTTAGTAGGACCTTGGACCTAGAATACCTAGAATACAGATAGAACCCAAGGAGCTAAAAATAAACTCATTTTATTATAAACCAAAACAAAATGCTATTATAGCTGCAAGACTTAAGGAAGTAAGGACCAGAAGTGGCATGTAAAATGCTCAATGATCAGCTGGTGGTTTGTGAGAAACAGATAGATAATATGGACCAGATGGGAAGAGTGACTGCAGCTGTGACTAACGAGACCAGGAGCAGGTGTGACTGCAGGACTGAGGGACTGATTGTGGAAAAGTTTTGGGAGAAGTGGCTGGTGGGACGGAGGAACACGAGGAAATAAACACAGGTTATAAATAAGTCTAAAGAGTGGCTGATCTTTAGAATCAATGTAGGTTAAATGTAATTTTGTATTTGCCTATTACTCTAAATAACTGGTTTCTTTAGAATTTCAGAATAAACTCTAGGATCTCCCTGAAAAGTTAATTTTGATTAAAAAAAATGTTAAGAATGACACCAAGATAAATAAGCTAGTATTTTGCTGATGCTTATACTTTAAGTGATTAGTTGAGCTGCCTTCATTTCCCTCGTTCTGATTACATCGTCTTGACTGGTGTCTGTGGGGTTACGTCACAAACTGTTCTCTGGTTCATTACATGAAGAATACTAAAAGGATATATTTGTGTGTTTGCATATTTATGTCCATCCATCCATCCGTTCAAGT